GTATTGATGTTTTTTTTTTCTTCTCACATGCATACAGAAACAATAATGTGTAAAAAAAATAAGAAATATGTGAATAACAGAAAAAAAAAATTAGTTAAGGTTTCCCTGTTCTTCAAGTTTCTTTAATCGATCAATTTGTCTACAAAAAAAAAAACACAGGAAAGGGTAAGTTAAGCTTACAAGACTTTGAGCAAAAGTGAAACAAAGAACACGTGGAGGGGGGGGGGGTTGAAAGGAAGGGACTGAACTCGTCTCTAAGGCTTTCTTGCCATCTTTGTCGTTTAGCGATTTGGTGAACTTTGAAACCGACTAATGAGGAGACAAACAAAAACAGACCGAATCAGTTTTTTATTGGATTTTAGGAGGGAGATAGAAGATGAAATGAAGAGAGGACGTGTAAGGGGGAAGGGGAAGAAGACGAAGAACGAACAAATGCGAGGTCGATAACGTTGAGCCTTCAAAGCGCTATCCAAGCTTCCAGTCTGGGGGGTGTTATTATTAGAGCTAGTGCCGACCATCTGACCGACCTCGGAAGGCGGAGGGCCGCCCTGATTGGAGTTACTGATCGTGCCGAGCCGCCAGAGTTTGGTGGGGACCATATTGGGATAGACCATGAAGAGCATGTGGGGGAAGGTGGTGCCGAAGTACGCCCCATCGATCGTCCCATGGCGGGACGATTTCGGGGAATAGATGTCCTCGCATCGCGGACAGTATAGCTTGACTGCCTTCGAATACGGCGTGTCTGATAGGCCCACTGGTAGTAATGGTTGGGTGTTGCATAGCACCCTTGGACATCGTCCGAAATCCGCCTTCTTGTATTTGTCAAGCTGGAAAATAAACATACCACACATGCACCTCAATCAGCTGTAATTCAACTGTACTACATCTTATAGGGTAGTCCAAATGAGAGGGAGAGAGAGAGGGAGAGTGCTTACCATTTTGGCTAAGCCTCGACTGGTGATGATGTATCTTGCATGGATCAGTCCGTATAAATGACGAGCAGCACCTTCGACGGATTCACGAGTAGCTTCATCCAATTCATCCACCCCTTTACAAAACAAGCCAAGAATCTAATCAAGATCCAAAAGCCTCAAGATAAAGAAAAAAAAAAAAAGAAAAAAAACTGACCGAAGGCATCGGTGATCAAGTCCAAAGCCATCCCATAACGATGGACCTCAGAGTTCAAGCCGGTAAGATTGAATCGATCCAAGATGTACTCCTCATCGACCTCGCAAAAGTATTCGTTTCCCTTGGTGGATAAGAACCAGGTGACCCATGAGTTGGCATAGTCCGATTCGGAGCCCGTCGATAACTCATCCACTGTTGTTATTGTCATCCATATTTCGATCATCAATCAGATTCTTTCTGGCATCTTATCTTCATTCATTCCGATATCTGTAACTGTTCACTCACTCCTTTCCTGATTTCTCGGCGTGGTCCTTCAAGGTACTCCTCAAATCTCCAAATAGAAAGCGCTCCTCGGTCCGACTGTCCTTCAATGCTCGTGGTGTGGATCTCTTCTTCAAGTCGATTGTCTTCTCCTGTTGTGGCTTTCCAGTTTTTTTTTTTTTTTTTCAACAGGGTTTTCGAATGTGGAGGTTATCCCATTGACTTGGAGCGGGGATCCCCGGGGGCACGAGCAAGTCTCACACAGCACTGTCACAAGCGCAGCCTTGGATGATACAACTCGGGAGAGATCAATGGAGGACAATATCCTAGTGTCATGTTGATTCACTCTGGTCAGTGTTTTATAAAGTATACTAGATAAAAATTGGCCAGTTTGTGCGTGCAGAGACACCATCTGAAATTTGAGAAGGTGTCATATATGTACTTGCAACAGTAGTTTTCACTGATCAGCTGATGATACTAAAATCCAATTGCAACTGGTTGACAAATTGAATTCATTAATCTTCTCGGATTTGATCACAAAGTCAGTTGATCTTGGGTTTTATATGATCTACTTGTAAATTGAGAAAAGAGATTGAATCCAAAAAAGGTGGAAAAAAAAGATTAGGTCCCGAAAAGTTATTGCTGCCCGTGGGGTATCCATGTATCGCTTTTGCAAGGTGTATCATTTGTTCCATTTTTTTGGAGATTTTCATTTTATTTTAAATGATTTGTTCCACAGTCATATTCATTATGAGGTTTTGTACCCATTTTTGAGCATCGTGCATTGAATGGTTTGTGACAACCTTCACAACACCTAAACATCTCTCCTGAGCATTTTCCATGATCAAAACCACTTTTGCACACCAGATTCTCAGTGCATTCTCCAGGTACTTCAAGGAAGTTTGTTCTGACAGTATTTATGCACTTGGTACATGGTGGACGTGCTGTGAGAACTGGTGCAACTGTGGACAGGGAAAGCACTATCACAAGGTGGTGGATTGTGACCA